AAAATTTTTGAGATCTTTCTCTCTCTAGTCGAAACGCAGTGAGCTTTTTTTCTCTTTAGCCGAATTTTTATCGAAAGCTCCCTCTCAAATATTGTAGGTAAGTGACTTCATTATCTTGAAAAATAATCCGTTCTTTTTAAAAATAAAATGAAATAATTACTTCTGGTTATTATCATGAATTTAGGTGCAATAAATTTTATGCGCAAGCGACCTCATTATTTTGGAAAATAATCTTTTTAATAAAAGTGTGATATTTTATCTATGTTAGAAATTTTAAATGCTGTAAATTCTTAAATTTATTTTTCTTATCTATTGTTAGAAAATTTTAGATACTGTAAATTATTAGAAATAAATGTGATATTTATGCTTTTATTAAAATTGTGAGATTTCTTTCTATTGTTTTTTTTTTCATATTTAGACATTATAAATTTTATGTGCAAATGACTGCCTTATTATTTGAAAACGGATATTTTTACAATTGATTATAGCATTGTCTGTGAAATGTTTATTTGCGAATTGACATCCCACAAATTGTGATAATTTCGTATTCTTGAATTTCTATAAGAGTTTTTCTATACATATTAGATTGACAATTATGCTAGAATGTCTTTACGAACTGCTACCTTTCTAAATCTGAGCCCAAAATATTTGACTGGTTTTTTTTGAAATGTTATTGAAAGTGACTGTTATTAATGGTTTCAGTGAAATTTATATTAATAATTTCAGTGATATGTTGAGTACATGATATTGCTGCTTTCGAATGTTTAACGAAATTTAGAAATACTTTAAGTACGCAAGTGGACTCATCCGGTTCGTCGGTGAGGTATAAGTGGACCTATCCGGTACGCCGGTAGGGATTAAGTGGACTCATCCGGTACGTCGATGAGGTATAAGTGGACCTGCAAGGATTAAGTGAACCTATCTGAGACGTCGATAGGGATTAAGTGGACCCATCAGGATGCTGATGGGATATATAGGTGACCTACTTGGGACGCCAGTAGGGTTATTTGTGAAATCCTTTGAATTACGCACTGTCGTTAAAATGTTATGTGCATTTCAATTATTCGAATTATACTTAATTATGCATTTTTGAAAGTGAAACTGTTAATGCATTTCTGTTAATAGATCTTCTTTTCGAAAATATTGATATCTTTCAACCATGATTATTTTTACGATTATGATGATCACATACTGAGTAACCAAACTCATCAAATTATGGTAAACATTTTTTTTCAGGATAACTGCGGTTTCATTTTGAGTGCTCGTCAGGATCAACTCTGGAAGATATTTTAGTTGTGCTTAAACTTTCTTTTGTTACTTTTGTAAGAATTTGCCATTGTAAATTTGTCCTAAAAAGAGATGTATATACGTTTTGACTGTCACATCTCAGGAATATCAGTATTGTAAATTCTTGGGGCATGACAATTATGGTATCAGAGCAATAGGTTTAAGATTCTTAGGAAATTTAAAAAGAATGAACTTAAAATCACATTTATTGCGTGTACAGACTGAGACGAAGTCAAGATCCAGAATAGCTGAAGCTAATATGGAAGGAATTTCACAAAGCCTTGAAAAATATGCTTGCTCTAATGCAACATTAGATGGAAAACAACAATTCACCCAGGCAGTCAGTTACCGAAAATGGTGGGAGTAATATCGAACAATTTAAGAAATTGAACTCACCTTCTTTTAAGGGTGCTGTAAACCCACTGGAAGCCGAGGGATGGATTATGCAATTGGAGA